ATCTACACTACTCCATGATCCTTCCATGGGCACATATGTTTCAGCTTTTTTGGCCCAGTGGTTCCTGAGAAGAAGATTCTCAAAGATTTTTCCTATATATTTCTATGTAAAACTTTGATTCCCCTATAATGGCCCCGCCCTTCCCCCGGGGGTCATGATTCCAACAATTTAGAATTTACACTACCCCAGAATGCTTCCACATAAGCTTCACTTTTTCTGGCCCAGTGGTTCTTGAGAACAAGATTTTCAAAGATTTTTCCTATATATTTCTATATAAACCTTTGATTCCCCATTGTGGCCCCGCCCTTCCCCCGGGGGTCATTATTTGAACAATTTAGAATCTACATTATACCAGTATGCTTCCACATAAGTTTCAGCTTTTCTGGCCCTATGGTTCTTGAGAAGAATATTTTCAAAGATTTTTCCTATATATTTCTATGTAAAACTTTGATACCCCATTGTGGCCCCGCCCTTCCCCCGGGGGTCATGATTCCTACAATTTAGAATTTACACTACCCCAGAATGCTTCCACATAAGCTTCACTTTTTCTGGCCCAGTGGTTCTTGAGAAGAAGATTTTCAAAGATTTTTCCTATATATTTCTATATAAAACTTTGATTCCCCATTGTGGCCCCGCCCTTCCCCCGGGGGTCATTATTTGAACAATTTAGAATCTACATTATACCAGTATGCTTCCACATAAGTTTCAGCTTTTCTGGCCCAGTGGTTCTTGAGAAGAAGATTTTCAAAGATTTTTCCTATATATTTCAATGTAAAACTTTGATACCCCATTGTGGCCCCGCCCTTCCCCCGGGGGTCATGATTCCAACAATTTAGAATTTACACTACCCCAGAATGCTTCCACATAAGCTTCACTTTTTCTGGCCCAGTGGTTCTTGAGAAGAAGATTTTCAAAGATTTTTCCTATATATTTCTATATAAAACTTTGATTCCCCATTGTGGCCCCGCCCTTCCCCCGGGGGTCATTATTTGAACAATTTAGAATCTACATTATATCAGGATGCTTCCACATAAGTTTCAGCTTTTCTGGCCCAGTGGTTCCTGAGAAGAAGATTTTCAAAGATTTTTTCTATATATTTCTATGTAAAACTTTGATACCCCATTGTGGCCCCGCCCTTCCCCCGGGGGTCATTATTTGAACAATTTAGAATCTACATTATACCAGTATGCTTCCACATAAGTTTCAGCTTTTCTGGCCCAGTGGTTCTTGAGAAGAAGATTTTCAAAGATTTTTCCTATATATTTCTATGTAAAACTTTGATACCCCATTGTGGCCCCGCCCTTCCCCCGGGGGTCATGATTCCTACAATTTAGAATTTACACTACCTCAGAATGCTTCCACATAAGCTTCACTTTTTCTGGCCCAGTGGTTCTTGAGAACAAGATTTTCAAAGATTTTTCCTATATATTTCTATATAAAACTTTGATTCCCCATTGTGGCCCCGCCCTTCCCCCGGGGGTCATTATTTGAACAATTTAGAATCTACATTATACCAGTATGCTTCCACATAAGTTTCAGCTTTTCTGGCCCAGTGGTTCTTGAGAAGAAGATTTTCAAAGATTTTTCCTATATATTTCTATGTAAAACTTTGATACCCCATTGTGGCCCCGCCCTTCCCCCGGGGGTCATGATTCCTACAATTTAGAATCTACACTACCCCAGAATGCTTCCACATAAGCTTCACTTTTTCTGGCCCAGTGGTTCTTGAGAAGAAGATTTTCAAAGATTTTTCCTATATATTTCTATATAAAACTTTGATACCCTATTGTGGCCCCGCCCTTCCCCAGGGGGTCATGATTTGAACAATTTAGAATCTACACTACACCAGGATGCTTCCACATAAGTTTCAGCTTTTCTGGCCCAGTGGTTCTTGAGAAGAAGATTTTCAAAGATTTTTCCTATATATTTCTATGTAAAACTTTGATTCCCCATTGTGGCCCCGCCCTTCCCCCGGGGGTCATGATTTGAACAATTTAAAATCTACACTACACCAGGATGCTTCCACATAAGTTTCAGCTTTTCTGGCCCAGTGGTTCTTGAGAAGAAGATTTTCAAAGATTTTTCCTATATATTTCCATATAAAACTTTGATACCCCATTGTGGCCCCGCCCTTCCCCAGGGGGTCATTATTTGAACAATTTAGAATCTACATTATACCAGGATGCTTCCACATAAGTTTCAGCTTTTCTGGCCCAGTGGTTCTTGAGAAGAAGATTTTCAAAGATTTTTCCTATATATTTCTATGTAAAACTTTGATTCCCCATTGTGGCCCCGCCCTTCCCCCGGGGGTCATGATTTGAACAATTTAAAATCCACACTACACCAGGATGCTTCCACATAAGTTTCAGCTTTTCTGGCCCAGTGGTTCTTGAGAAGAAGATTTTCAAAGATTTTTCCTATATATTTCTATGTAAAACTTTGATTCCCCATTGTGGCCCCGCCCTTCCCCCGGGGGTCATGATTTGAACAATTTAAAATCTACACTACACCAGGATGCTTCCACATAAGTTTCAGCTTTTCTGGCCCAGTGGTTCTTGAGAAGAAGATTTTCAAAGATTTTTCCTATATATTTCTATGTAAAACTTGGATTCCCCATTGTGGCCCCGCCCTTCTCCCGGGGGTCATGATGTGAACAATTTAGAATCTACACTATACCAGGATGCTTCCACATAATTTTCAGCTTTTCTGGCCCAGTGGTTCTTGAGAAGAAGATTTTCAAAGATTTTTCCTATATATTTCTATGTAAAACTTTGATTCCCCATTGTGGCCCCGCCCTTCCCCCGGGGGTCATGATTTGAACAATTTAGAATCTACACTACCCCAGGATGCTTCCACATAAGTTTCAGCTTTACTGGCTCAGTGGTTCTTGAGAAGAAGATTTTTTAATGACCCAACCCTATTTTTCTCTTTTCTTGATTATCTCCCCTTGTGAGGGGATATGTCCCTTCATTTTAACAATTTAAATTCCCCTTCACCCAAGGATGCTTTGTACCAAGTTTGGTCAAAATTGGCCCAGTGGTTCTTGAGAAGAAGTCGAAAATGTGAAAAGTTTACAGACGGACGGACAGACGGACGACGGACAAAATGTGATCAGAAAAGCTCACTTGAGCCTTCGGCTCAGGTGAGCTAAAAATTTAGGATGAAAAGGGACAGATATTGAAATTCAGGGAATTTTAGTGAATATGGTTCATGTTTCTTTCACAAGTGCTGAGTTCAAAGTGACCTCCAAATTTTTGTTATTTAATGCAGTTACTGTATATCAATTGAAATAATTTTATTCATCCAATCAGGGTCAATTATTTAAATTATTAGGAAATTAAATGATATGGGATTGATTTCACTCGTGGGACAAGATTGTTTTATAAATATTATGTTTGCGAGTGTGAAGCACAAGTGAAAGTATTTTATAAGTCCTGTCTGAAGAGTAAAAGAAATTCAGGCAGAAACGGGGGGGGGGGGGGGGCTGCCCATATTTTTCCCAACATAATTATACTATAGGAAATATTCATTGAAAGGATGGTTGTCCCCTCCCCCAAACTTTTTGTGATATAAGAAAAATGTAGCATTGTAGGTAAAATGGGATTTTCGACTTTTTTTTATTTTGCTTATCAACTTTTTCAGGTAAGTAATTTTTTTTCTGGCTCCCCCCCCCCCCCCATTTGAAAACCACCTCCAACTACAAAACACGTCTTTTTGTAACACAGTCATAGATAGCATATACTGACCAGGTCACATCTAATGTTTATTGATATTGTAATGAAAACATGTAAACATGGCTTCTAACAACATACATAGAGAAACTTTGTCCGAATGATTTTTTAAGTACATCTCTTATTTGTAGGCCTATCTATTATTTAAAACAGACCAAGGAAATCTTTTTACAACACTCTTAGTGATGGGAAGTCTTTGTCGCACTTCTGATATCCTGACACAAGGTGATAGCTAGAGAAATAATTTGCAGTATTTCACTGTGGAAAATGTATTAAAATATAGTATCCCACTTTTAAGAAAATGGTTTGCTATTTTGTCAGGTTTCGAGAGAGGTTTCTGTTGGGTGATTTTTTAACACTTTTAAAAAATTCTTAATTTTATTTCAGTTCGTCCCCTTCCCCAATCTTCGGTTTAAAGATGCAATAACGTTACTGGGTGATAACTTCAAAACTTACAAAAGATGTTAAGCTTAGATTAGTTTTTCATACCGACATTGGATGGCAGGCTATTTCGAAAATTAACTTACACGCCGAAGAAAGAAATATTTTTGAAAAAAAACAAAGAAAACTAAATGGTCATAAACTACTTTTATGTAATATTCTTTGAGGACAAAAAAGTAGAAATCAAAGTTGATCAAAACAAAAAAAAATTAATCCTTTATCGCAATGAATGTAGTAAGAAAAATAATAAAATTAATGTTTGAGAGGCTGCAGGTTGTAAAATATATAATTTTTTATATTTAGAAGCATGTTTACTATGTTAACGAAACGTTTGTCTTTATGACGTCATAATACAATGACATCATAATGCTTTTGAAGGCATTCTGGGATATAATCCCTGGAACCGCTGGTTGTCAATATTCTTTTGCTTGAAGGTATTCTCAACTGCATTTTGAGTTCCTAGTGTCAAAAGATTTGTGAAAGGGTGTGATTTACTGACTAATCACTTTCTTCGTCCCATTTATTATATGGGCAGTGTGTAGACGGAAAAGCCTTGATAAATATACGGAAACGACTACTAAAGGGATAGCAGCCGTCACCGATTTTTACATTCTATTCAAGAATTCCCTCCTAAGGTACGAACTCAAGTCATGTGAATACGGTAGAGTATGCATGTTTGCTTGCATGGGGGTCTATTATTAATAAGTAATTTTATAAGTTAGTTATAAGTATAGTCAATCTCATATAACATGTTTGTATATAATTGAATTGGTGACAAACTGTAGAAATCAATGTTCAGTGTTCGTTGTTTCAGGTTTAAAAATTCAAATATTGACTAAATATGGAATCTCGAAGAGGAGAATCCCTTGCATCGGATCGAACACTTTCTGATCAACTTTCCACTATCTGGGAAAATAACGGAAAGCAATGTAGATGTCATACTAGAGCCAGTAGAGGCGGGCCCTGCAACAGTCTTAGCAGCTGTTCACTGGAAATCTTCATGGAAAGCAGCGTGTCATCATTCGGCTCTACGCCGACTTTTAACGAAAGCGGCCGACTCCTTCCGGAAAGCGCGTACGGTTCCACAGTAACCAATGCTCCAGACAGTTCAATGTGGCCAGTCGCCAAACGCATGTTAACCCCTGCAAGTTTTCAATCACAGGGGTATTTTAGCTACATGGATAAAAATCCAGAATATTTTCGACACCGGAGAGCTGAGCCAACCAAAGCTAAACATGTTCAAGCCAAGTCAACTAAACTACCGGACATTAATGCCCACAAAAAATACGTTCATATACCTAAAGACAATACCCAACAAGTTATGATGGAAAGATGCTATAAAAACAACCAAGTTGGCCGATCTAACACTACTCACAAGATCAAAGAAATTCAGTCCGTTTACGCTCCAGAGAGGAAAACCTCTGAGGTGAAGGCAAAATCCAAGCAACCGCAAAGTTACAGAAAACCTGCCGAAAAAAAACTTTCCTCAGTCCAGACAAACAATTTACATGCGAAAATCGTTCCAAATAAAAACAACAAACCTACTGAAAATAAAAGAAAGAAGAACTACGACACTGCGAAAGAGAATACAGACATTTTAAAATCCAGAGCCATGGCGCCACCATTTAATACACACGTAGACAGAGAAGCTTCTCAAAGATTTATCCGGCATTATTATGGTTAACTCTATCTACTAACGCACCGATTTTTTATACAGGCACTTTCTAAAGAAAGTTCGGGTAAATTGTTGTTACTCATGTCCATCCGTCCGTCCGTCTGTCACACTTTTCTTTCTCAAACATGTCAAACTCCTGTTACATTTTACACAGTAGCCTAATCATCTTTTGGGAGATGGTTGGTGTTGTCATGTAGATGTGCAGTAAGGTTTCGGAATTTTCATTTTGCCCCGGGGGTCAAATGGCGTATATGCAAAAAGCTCCTTCTTCCCTGAACCCCTCCTACATTTTTCACAGTAGCTTAATCATCTTTTAGAGGTGGTTGGTGGTGTCATATAGATGTGCAGTAAGGTTTCGGAATTTTCATTTTGCCTCGAGAAGGGGGTGATAATGGGGGTAGAAATGACTTCTTTTGTGAAAAACCCTCGTTTCCTTAACTCCTGTTACATTTTACACAGTAGCCTAATAATCTTTTGGGAGATGGTTGGTGGTGTCATGTGTATATGTGCAGTAAGGTTTCGGAATTTTCATTTTGCCCCGTGGGGTCAAATGGGGTCGAAAAATGATGTTATTAAAAACTTTACTATGCAAAAAGCTCTTCTGCACTGAACTCCTCCTACATTTTACACAGTAGCCTTATCATCTTTTAGGAGGCGGTTAGTGTAATTAAAAATAGTAGCAAAAGAGTTTGAGTAGCAAAATAAAGCTACCGGTAAAGTGGTATAGCTAATTCAACCACAGACCTTAGTCAATTTTAAGATGACTCTTATATTAATTATTTTTAAAATATTTATCTTATATCATCATTTCTGATTCAAGGGAGAACGAGAGTTATGACCAGAAGTATATCTGTTGAATAAAAAACATGTACATGTATACTGTGTTTTTTGTTTTTTGTAATTTGTTTGTTTGTTGTGAAAACATCTCTCTCGGGAATTTTTCACTCATATTGGGACACCATCACTTAAAAATAATGAAGACAAGATGTGTTTGTGAAACACTGATGCCCCCGTATGGCAGCTTATCGAAGGTTGAAGTTTCTCAAATGTAGGTCGAACCCCAAGGTTAAGGCCAAAGGGTCAAAATTGCTGGTATCAAAAGGAAAGTCTTGTCACAAGGAATACACATATGGAATAAGAAATCACTAGTACTTTCTGTTCAAAAGTTATTGCCAAGATTAAAGGCTATATTTAAAGTGGGTTAAACTCTAGGGTTAAGGTAAAAAATATTTATACCTCTTGAAATTTACAATGAATACATATGTTAAGCATGAAAGCCCTAGGACCGATTGATCAAAACCTAGGCCAAGTTTAAAGTTTGGTATTTTTCTTGTAAAAGTGGACAAACTCCAGGGTCAAGGTCAAGAGGTCAAAATTGGTGGTACCCAATTAAAAGGTCTTGCCACAAGGAATTTACCTATGAAATGTGGAAGCCATGTGTAAAACCCAACCCACTTAAAACTTATGGGCAAGGTTAAAGTTTCTGTGGACAAAAAAACAGACAGACAGACATAATATAAACACAAGAAACAAAAATATATATTATAGTAAAATGGAAAAAATTTTCTACTACGTTGGAGTCACAAGATCATTTGTCATTTCAGGGACAGGGATTGGCTAGGGAGATCGGAACCAGCCAACTCCCCACCCCAGATTTGCAGAGTTATTCAAATAGGACGTCACTATACACGTATACTGAAGCAAATAAAAAATTACTTTGGACGTCCTCCCCTCCTAGAAAATATGGACCCCATCATCATTGTTTCTATTTTGTTTATTTTTTATTTTTGTTCCTTGGTTCTCAGAATTCTGGGTGACACCCCCCCCCCCACCCCGAAAAAAAAAGATTTTGGATCTGCGCATGTAACTGAATGTCACGTCGACAATGGGAGATAACTTCACAATGTGAATTTCATCTACTCTGGCATGCGATGATCTTTGACCTTTTTTGAACTTTTACCTAATCATTTGTATTTCGGTTTATTTTACCCCAATCTATACTTAAACTTGTACTTTACCGATTGTCATAGGTCCTGTCAATTTCATGAAATATAATCCAATTAAAACACAAAATTAATAATTTCATCTGATATACCGGTACACAACACACTGCATCATCAGCATGTGCTATCTCATTCAGCAAACCTTGGCTGATTCCGTCGCCTTCATCAGATGAAGTACGAATTGGCCGAGGTATGCCGAACTGTGCTATCTAAAAATATGATAATGGGTGATGACGCAAATCCAGAGTGATGTAGAAATTTACAAAAAGGTGTTCACACACATGTACATGTATAGTACCAGAAAAAAATTTAAATCATCAGAACAAACGATGTTTTAACAAAACTTTGCCATCTAGGCCAATTTCAAATCAAAGTACTGAAAGTACTGAAAAGCGGTTAGCATGCTTTCATCGAATATGTACAGTGTACAATAACAAAAAATGCATTGAATCATGATATTAAAGTAGGCATGCATATCTTTTTCCAGTGTCATCAGCGAAGAAGCAGACACACTGAATTTTGTAGTACTTAACTAAATGGTATAACCAATAACATCCCAGACTGATGTCACAAATGTTTGTTTCAAAATATCAACCTGAGATTTACAGTTTGAAAGACAGGAAGTTCAATTTCAAAAATTTCTCCCTGATTGTCTCCATTGGTGGCGTCCAAAAGTGCTCAAAACGAAAAAAAAATTATGTTGATGTTGCAAATTTAATTGGCTTTCATGCTCTATTGATTCTGAAATTAGATAACTGTAAAGGCTACTATAGCAAACAACTCAAAAATAAAATAAAATGATAATTCAAATTCTTTAGATTAATTGATTTGGAGTACTGTACATAGATCTTTAGCTGGCTAGTCTGAGAAAAACGGATGGACGAGCAGAGAATTAATTAATTTCAGAGAGCTTCAGTTTCGTAGGCTCTCTGCGGGTCAGCAGGTGTGACCTGTCATTGGGGATGCTTACTTCTCCTAGGCACCGGAACTTTTAAGGATCCGTTTTTCTTTTGAGACCGATCACTGTTCATTCTGTATTTTGATACAGATACTGAGTACATCTGTTTATTAATATTATGAACTATTTCTCTCATAGGAAGAAAGACAAGTAAACAAGATAATAAAGTTTTAAGAAATGTACATTATTGACTTTTCATACAATTAAATGTTCGAATAAGTAAATGGTATATGACAATTATTTAAAAAAGAGTCTTGCACGATATGTATAAACGAACATATACTGAGTATTTGGCAAATATTTTTCATGAAAAAAAACGTGTGAAAAGGAAAGTTGTTGTTTAATCCATCAATACTAGTATTTTAAAAATTCAAAGGTTCACTAAAAGTCAGTGTATAACAAACAATTTAATTGTCCATTGCAAGAATTACCTAGGTATCATTGTCACTTTCTTCAATATGCCGCATAAGCAATACATTGTTTTTTTGGGTTTTTTTAGTAAAAACAAGTATGCGAATTTCTATCAATATGTCTGTAAGTATCTGTATTTTAATTTTTATTTCTTCTCAAAGGCTCAAAATGATAATTAACGAATTGGACAAATTCAAATTTCAAAAGTATTTTTACAACTTATACCTTGCATAGGAATTAAGCAAACTTTCAAAAATAATCATTCATTAGATATAATTTTCAATTTGTGCTTATCGTCAAGATTTTTCATGCCTCTTTTTTCTGTGCATATTTTATATCGGCTGATTTTTAGAAAAGGATCGAATGCCGATTAATTTTTTTTCTCTAATTTTTTAAAATTAATTTTAGTTTTTTCAGGCTCCCATTATTTTTTTTTTAATAAAAATGTGATCGTTTAAAATCGTTTGTAATAATTAGACTGAGTACAGAATTTATCCCTGGAAACAAAGATTTTATCATCTTTTAGATAATTTCAATTGAGAAAAAAAGGAGAAGAAAACAAACGTTTCATTATGGAAGTAATCCATAACTGTACAGATGTATTCAGTATTTTTATATAAAGGCTTTCTTCGTGTACTAGTATTACTTAAATTAATTAAAGGGATGCCTAAATATTTTGGAAAATGAAACTCGATCGAGAGATTCTCCGATGTTTTGCAGTCGGTAATAACCTTCAACCTCTTTAGCCAGTAATTAACCCGTCCTCCCTGTGCCCAGTAGCATAATTCGGTCAAATATTTATTGTTCATGAGGGGTGCCTTATAATTAATCACAGGCACCTGAATTTTTATCAGTAAGTCTCTAAATTAGCCAAATATCGAAACATTCTACCCCCTCTATATATAAATACACAAGGTGTCCAACGCCATTTTGACCACCTGTTCGATTCAGGCTTCAATTTAACACATAAATCGGAAATACCTACTGGTTTTCGTGTAACATTGGGTTCAATATGATATTTCTCGCTATACATTTCTTCCTAAAGTTTAAATCTAACGCGTTGATAATGTTATCAGCTAAACTTCATGCTGACTTCGAATTTCGTCACAGGACCCGATCGCCATCAGCTGATGTCACTGAAATTTAATCTCGACACCAAATGCTCCTATACATAAACTTTTTTTAATACAACAATTATAAATTTTTTTCATTGACAAACAAAATCAGAAAAAAATTAAAAAACCGAAAGATTATGTTGTTTTGATAGTCTTGATTTTATTTAACATATGGTATTTGTGTTGAAGTTTCCGTTGTCGATAGGTAGCGCCTTATGGAAGTTTCCGGTGTCGATAAAAATCGGACACATGCCATAAAGCGGCTAGCGAAGCTAACCGCTTAAAAACGTGTGTCTGTGTGGGGAGGGGTGGGCGTTCACAAAATTGATTGGGTTGGATTTTCAAGGTTTTTTTTTTAATTAATTTATTTATTTATTTTTTTTTTTTTTTTGCTTGACCAAATGCTAAAAAAATTGCACATTTTGATAAATTCATCAAAAACGCATTGTACAATAATAATGTTATTTGTGGTTGAGTTAAATGAATTTAAAAAGTCCCTATTCATGCAAGTATGGGCAAAAA